TCTGCGCCACCACCCCTACTCTACCCCTGTAGAGTAGGGGTGCCCAATACGCTGATTGCGATCTACCAGTCGATCGCGAAGGCAATTTGATTAGATCGCATGGCAAAATAAGACGTCATTCTTTTTTTTAATAGACGTCAGCCTATCGATCTATCCTCACTATGCAATTTGTCACTTGATTGGCATACAGTGTAGACAATCAGAGACTGGATCTTTTCTGACATACACCATACAGGCACATCAGGGTTTCCTCTACATGCATTTTATCGTGGAGCACCGCCACGGTAAAATTCAAGCTGCCACACCTTCAGAATAGAGGTTTATATAGATTTGAAATAAATGTAAATATCATGAAACATAAAAATTTACTTTATTTTGAAAAGCCATCAGTACCGGCTCCTGCCTGTGAAGCTGCTGCGGTGCAGCACGGCTCTGTGAAACTAGAGACGAGTCCACTGTTAAAAGTAAAGGGAGAGAAAAGGTGAAAGAAAAGAACCCAAGGAAGAAATGCATTTTTACTTCATGCCTGTGACGCAGTTACCTGCAAACTAGTGGCTTTTTGGCAAAATTTGCCTATTTCAAACTAAAATATGTCATTTACGTGAATCGTCCAGATCCAAAGAGGTTTTTTTTTTGGTGGGTGGGGTCAGAGGTGCAGTGGATGGCATTTCCTTTTAAGAAACAGTGTTCTTCCTTGGTCATTTAGCTTAGCAGGTGGCAGGCAGCAGGTGCTCATCGCTTTGGGGAGTTTTATTGTCAGGGCTGGGGGAGGAGGAGGAGACATCTTCATGTTGCGCATTAGCTTACAGCTACAGTACGTTAGTGACGTCAGCTGTAACGTCAGTCTCTCTGATAGCTGGAGCTGCTGGTTGTTATCTGATTAATGACGGTGATAGAGAACATGCGTTTTTATTTAATTTAATTGGAACAAGCAGTGTTTAAATGTAATTTGTAAATAAATCTAACACAAAGATAATAATTTAATGATTAAGCTTCAACTTTTAATTTGCTGGCAAAGTCTGAAGACACTGCGTTGTATGGCAAGATGAATTGCATTTAAACAGGAATTAAATAAATTTATTTCATCTAGTCAAGTGTGGGTAATTAGTATTTTACAGTGTGTGTGTGTGTGTGTGTGTGTGTGTGTGTGTGTGTGTGTGTGTGTGTGTGTGTGTGTGTGTGTGTTTAATTGCTCTTTTAGCTACTTTTGCCTGAACCTAACACTGTAAGTGAAACAAGGCATTTCTTGAGTTGCTGTAAATTATGATATAAAACATTTACTGTCTCATTCCAGAAAACAACAACAAACAACAACAACATCCTTCATGATGGACAGACATCATGGACACCACAGCAGCAGCTGTCTTCACTGAAACATCCTGAACATGATCGTCACTGACATGAGGCCTCTGTCGATGGTTGAAGATGAAGGCTTCACTACAATAATCCACACTTTTAATCCAGGTTACAATAATCCACACTTTTAATCCAGGTTACAATAATCCACACTTTTAATCCAGGTTACAATGATCCTTCAAGGACACATTTTACAAAATAGCTACACATTGTGCAGGTATAAAGACACATTTGTATGTATTTTTGTGTACATTTATTTTTTATTGAAGATATTTGACTAACTTTTTATTTTTTAATTATTCAATATTTTGCTAACAGAATAGTCAAGTAGCAACTTGATTTTTGTGCGATTTGCTATGGCAGTCAAATTTTGGAATAAAGAGGTGTTAATTAAAACTTTTTTTTTTTTTGCCGAATCATCGGTTATCAAAAAAATGTCTTGTCCGATTAATCGATTATTGAAATAATTGTTAGTTGCAGCCCTATCAGAGATGCTGTTTCTAGTCTTGTGTCTGTTAAAACAATCCCAAACCAGTTTGAGGCCTTAGCTGTAAACATCACTGAATGGAGGCCAGATTTTATCTGTAGTGGGTTGTCATCGTCCTCCCTCAGCAACACCCAAGGCTCTGTCCTCCCTGATGGAATTCCTTGGAAATTTTAAATTCAAAGAGATTTTTTGGCAGGAGATTTCAACATTGACTGGGGTAAGTCGACCCCCCTCTGTGATCAATTCAAGGAATGTTGCCTGTCACTCAGTCTAACCCAACTCAATGAGACTCCCACTAGAACAAACAAAAACTGTCCTGATAAATCCTCCATCTTAGACCTGTTTCTAACTAATATGCCTCACAAATTCCCTGGTACAGGTGTATTCAATGACATTTTGAGTGATCATTGTGTGACAGCGGCTCTCAGAGATATTAAACTTCCACCTTCTAAGCCCAGATTAATAAATAAAAAACGTTTTTGTGAACAGTCATTCTTCTGGGATCTGTCTCACTTTGACTGGTATCGTATTCTGTTAACTGATGACGTGAACTCCGCTTGGAACTATTTTCATAATAGTTTCATTTATTTTGTGAACAAACATGCTCCTTTTCATCAGTTCAGAATAAAGGGACGAGACAGCCCCTGGTTTACTCCAGAGCTAGCTGACCTCCTGCACAGGAGAGATCATCTTTGGGCCACAGCGAGAAAATCTGGCTCTGATAAAACAGACGATGATCTCAGCTCATGAAACTGTTTGTCGTGCAGTCAGAGTATTTGAAGTGAAACATGTTTTAAATGTTAGTAAAAAGACACCAGAATGCAGACAATGGCATCTATTTTTTTTTTTATTCTGTTGGGGAGGACCCCCAGACCACTAACACCCCCCCACCACCACCACCCTGGTCCGTGAAAATATTGTCTTACATCAAACCGGTCAAGGGCGCAATAAAAGGTTTGGGACCACTGGTTTAGATGGTTTATAAATTATACTTCAGAAGAGTTTTTGTGCAGACTTGAACAGGTTTTGAAATTTTGTTAAATATTTACCAAATATGAATCAATTTGGTAAAGACTGTGAAGTCTGTACATTTCATATTTGGTTAAGTTTTGAAAATAGAGAAAATGTTAGTGCAATATGGTTAAAAAAAACAGTAAAGTCTTCATTTTATCTTGAGTCAAAGGTTAATGCACAATGTATGGTAGGCTGAAGTCTTTGTTCACTTTTGTATTTATATATTTTGAATTCAGTGTTTCCCCTACCATTATACAAGCGGGGGCGCACCACCCCGTCAAGAGAGCTGAAGCTCCTCGGTTGCAGGGCCCTGGGGGTGGATGAGATTCGCCCGAAGTTCCTTAAGGCTTTGGATGTTGTGAGGTTGTGTTGGCTTACACAACTCTGCAATATTGCAAGGACATCGGGAGCAGTTCCCCTGGATTGGCAGACCGGGGTGGCGGTCCCACTATTCAAAACGGTGGACCGTAGAGTGTGTTCCAACTACAGGGGGATCACGTTCTTAAGCCTCCATGGTAAGGTCTATTCAGGGGTTCTGGAGAGGAGGTTCCGTCGGATAGTGGAACCTCGGATTCAGGAGGAGCAATGCGGTTGTTGTCTTCTTATTCCAGACTACTACAGAACCTCTGGCAGTATTCATGGACAATCTCACTACCTTTGCCGCCTTCCCTCCCCCCTGAGGAATGTCTGCGTCACTGTGTTGCTTTATGTGCAGGATCTTTTTTCCAATTTCTGGCACTGCATTGGCCAGGGCTTAGTGCCAGTTATGATTTTTTTTGCCTCCTCACACTGTTGTCACTTTTCTCTACTTTATTGTCTGTCTAAACAAGTCTCACTTGTAAATGAGTCCCTGAGGCTCGATGCGATTAATCTGTATAAATAAAGGTTGAATTTTCTTTCATTCAACCTTTGTTCGAGGCTCAATGTGATTTATCTCTATAGGTAATTCACACTGAGCCTCGAAGACTCATTTACAAGTGAGATCTATTTGGATATACAATAAAGTGGTGAAAATGACTACATAGGTTTTGGAGGCAAAAAAAAATTCCTAACACGATCTTAATCTATGGTAGAAGATTAATAGCCTGAACATGAAAAAAAAAATAAAACTCGCACACAAGCACATGACACTGATATTCCGTGGGGGGACGGGGGGGGGGGGTGTGAGCGTGTCCAGAGACACTCTGAGAGGAACTGCAAGAGTTCCGATAAGAGTGGTATAATCGCTCAGTTCCCATAGTTCCCTCTGTAAACACTCTCGGGGGGGGGGGGGGGGGGGGGGGGGGGGGGGGGGGGGCAGAGGAGGCCAAGGACAACGTCAGATAGAATCCAAAGAGTCCTGAAATGATGACAGAACGTTTATTCAGCTGTGCCCCTCTGACTGGTCCATACACTTCCTCGGTGGGAGGGGGGGCAGAGCATCAAGGTTTGCAGAGCTTCCAGACAAATTAAGATGGCCTGTCAAGGCCAGTCAGGGAGATGAATTCAGATAAACACGATTGTTTGGGGACAGGCAGAACTTTACTGAATAGGTCTACCTTGAGTCAGTGTCGTTCCTCTCGGTTCCGAAACATCCAAATTAAGTGGCCATACCACTCGTCCGTGCCTGAGAGTATTCCCCGAGATCGGATCCATCCTGCCAGAAGCAATTGAGTCTGGGTGCTCGAGGCACAAACCAAGCCATCACATAAGGCAGGCAGCCTGATCAGGGCCAAATTTGCTGCCGACGACTTCCTTGTTTGTTGATAGATCAGGAACCAGCCGAATCCAAAAAGCAAAAAACCAGTTATCATAAATCCAATTATATATGCGCCCTTAACATCTTCGATTGACAGCAGAGACAGACACATCACCAAGTCTTCCAAGTCGATGAGATATCCAGCTGCGTGTGTGCCAACAGAGCAAGTTGGCTTGCCTAAAGCCCGTCTTCTCTTCGAAGAAATGTTATCAAATGCTTTGAGGGACCAACTGACCAAATCCATAACAGTATTATGATTCGGAAGATTTGTGAAGAGAGGCTCTAAAGCAGTTTCATAGACAGGACAAAGCAAAGCAAAGCAAATCAGAGAAGGAGAGAAAGGGAAAAGCATTCATCCTTGACAAGAGCAATTGTTGAAGTGAATGAATGAATGAATGAACTTACCCTGTGATTTCAGGACATTGGAAAACTGACAGACACTCTGCAGCAGCTCTCTGTACGTCACCGTCAGCTCATCACCCGGCTCATTGCCTTCCCTGGAGTTCATTATTAAACAAGTAGAAACAAATGTTACTGGAAAGACTCCTAATGATGTTTTATTTGTAAAACAACAACAACAACAACAACAAAAAACAATAATTTTTAAATGATAAATACTGTATGGCATATTTAGTGTTACAAGAGCCAGAGCACATGAAAACATTTGCTTGTTGTTTCCTATTGCTCCTTCCCCAAACCAGGCACAGGTGTTGCCTGGTCACGATACACACCCACTCCCAAAACATCCTCCTTTTGATTTTTGATGCAATGACAACTTGTTTGAAACTAATTGTTAATGTAATGTGCAGAACTGAATAAGAAATTAACTCCCAAACTGAACAACTCCCAATCTCTAGGCAAATGTTGGGCCATCAGGAAAATCAAGTTTCAAGTCATGAGGAGTGGTAACACTTTCCAGCTGTATGTCCTAACATTCCTGAAGTGATCTGATTGCCAATTACCATACAGTTTATCTGGCATATTAAATATAATGACATCTCAAGGTTGTTTCAGCATTCATACGGTTGTTTTCATTGTGTGAATGTTTATTTATTTATTTTTTTTATTTATTCATTTCAAATTACAAACACAATAACAATTTCAAAACAAGAGAGTAAAATACAAAACATAAAATGAAAGGCAGCAGAAGAAGAAAAAAAATCTTATTATTTCTGCCCCTTAAACAAAATCAATTCAAACAATCAATTCAATCAATAATCATCTATAAATAATACAACAAAATTACATAACTGATCACAATTTTTCCATTTATATTTCGTTTGATATTAACTAACTTAAATCTATATGTATCCATTCAACAATATGTTCTTAATCTTTTTCTTAAATATAAACATTGACTTTGATTTTTTTACATCATCATCCAAACTATTCCAAAAACCCATTCCCTGTACTGAAGTAGACCTACCCCTTAAACTAGTCCTATACTTTGGTTTCACAAAAATATCTGTTCCCTTTAGATTATAACAACTTTTCCTTTTCACAAAATATGCTTGAATGTTCGAGGGTAGTATATAATTCTGAGCTTTATACATAAGTAGGAGAATCTTATAATCCACCAGATCATAAAACTTAAGTAATTTCAATTTATAAAATAAAGTAGTTGTAGGATGACAGTAATGTTTTTTAGTTATAATTCTTATAGCTCTTTTCTGTAACACAAAAATAGGCTTAGGTTTTTCAGGCAATCTAATAACTTCTTTTTGTAACCACTTCCTGGATCTCTTTTCAGAGGTTCATAAGTGTTTAAGTCACTAAGGAGTGTCATAACTTTCTCATGATAGTCTTTCTGGTTCAAAATCACTGTGCACCTTCCTTTGTCTGCTGGGAGAATGATGATGTTTTTTGTCCTTGCTAAGAGTGGTGAGTGCATCCCTCTCCTCTCTACTGATGTTGGAAGGTGGTGGTTTGGCATTGCTGAGGCAGGATGAAACTTTGATTCTGAGCTGTTCTGCTTCACCCTCTTTCATTTTGTTGTTGCGGATGGCTGATTCTGTGGCTATGATCATCTAAACCAGAGGAATTCTACTTGGTGCAACCGCAAAGTTCAGTCCCCTGGCAAAGAATCTCTGTCTCCGGCTGGGTGAGCTGTCTGTCAGATAAATTCTTCACCCACTTTTCTGTCTCCCTGGCATGTAATTGCCTGAAAAATTTGGAGCAGGACAAGGCTATTGACCGTATTCTGTACCACAGACTGTACCCAGGGGAGGCCACACCTAGTCTGTATGGTTTACCTAAAATCCACAAACAAGGTGTACCTTTAAGACCTATTGTTAGCATGATTAACTCTGTCACTTACAATGTTTCTAAATATCTGGCGTCTGTACTCATCCCTTTAGTTGGCAGCTCAGAACACCACATACAGAACACCATGGACTTTGTGGACAAGGTGAGGGATGTCATCATGGAGACTGATGAAACAATGGTCTCTTTTGATGTCACATCACTCTTTACGTGCATTCCTGTTGATGATGCAGTAGAGGTGGTCAGTTTAAGATTAAAATCAGACACCACTCTGAGCAGCAGGACCACACTTTCCACAGAACAACTGTGTCAACTCTTGAAACTGTGCCTGCAGTCAACCTACTTCACATATGGGGAGCAATATTATAGGCAGAAACATGGGTGTGCTATGGGGTCTCCAGTTTCTCCTATTGTTGCCAACCTGTACATGGAGGAGGTAGAAAAGAGAGCCTTGACGTCCTTTTCAGGGACACCACCAAGTCATTGGTTCAGGTATGTTGACGACACCTGGGTTAAAATTAAATCTCAGGTAGTCCAACATTTTACTGACCACATCAACTCTGTGGATAAATACATCAAGTTCACACGAGAAGATGTAAAAAATGTCAGGTTGGCTTTCTTGGACTGTGAGGTCTCAGTCTCTGATAGAGGACATTTGCAAACTGAGGTGTACCACAAACCCACCCACACAGACCAGTATTTGCAGTTTGACTCCCATCACCCTTTGGAGTGTAGTGAGATAGGTCGGTTAGCTTCGTTAGCTTCGGAGCTCCACTACATGTTATAATATCTGGACTAGTTCAAGTACCTGATATTATACTTAATTTAAACGGGTTCTCTCTTTTTCGAGCTACTTGACAGATATGTGACAGAGATCAGTGACGTGAGACGTTAAATTTCTTTGACCCATCAAAATGAATGCGGTCATTTATTAACAGAATCAAAGTTTAACATCAAACATTGTACACGTGATTATTCTGATTGAAGCAATAACACAGCTTAACTAATTACAACAGACAATTATGAAAATATCTGGATGATTTACTGGCAAGATAGAAGAGTTTTAAAGATGGGAAATGAAGGAGTTTCAATGGAGAGGGAAAGATGGATGAGGGAATATGTGTCGACGACGAACGGCACTCTCCATCCGAACCCAGCTTCACCTCGGTACACGTAGGTAGTGGAAATCGACTCTTTACCTGTAGAAGATGTCTCCACTGGTACGGAGTTCCATTTAACGCCACCTTTCCAGCGTCTCCGTAGGAACAGCTGTGAATCGTCCGAAGTAGTGACGGTACTTCGTTCAACACACGCTCACCTCCCGGGTGGGCTCACATGAGTTGTGAGTCCGTCAGAGGTTCCACTAAGATGTGGAAGATTCCATAATTCCCACGAGACTCGGAAGAACTTCGGATCATGTCTGGAACCTCCTGTTCTCTCCAGCAACTTTTCTGTTCGGTTCTGCCCTCCGAACTGAACTGCTCTCCCACCGCACTGGTTGGAACTAGGAAGTGTCGACATTTAAAGAGTTCTGTTTCCGGTTCATTTGGGAAGTCCTGATTGGCTGAAAGAGCCAATAAGGGGTGTGTTTTTGTGACGTAAGAGGTCACTAGAAGTCAGAAAAACAGAAAAATGTTTTGGAACAGACAGAAAATGTTTTTGAAACAGACAAGAGAAATGTTTAGGCGAGATGGGAGGAAACAGGTGCCAGCTTCTCTATTTACGTCTGAGAGGATTTAAAAACATGAAAGTTTGTTCCAACAAACTTGTTGGCGTTTGTCTCCGACTTTTGACCGACTTACAGCCTGCTCATTTCAGACAGAAGATCAAGAAAATGAATAATTACTCTGTAACAGACATTAACTAGATTTCTACTTTGAATGAGGATTAAAAATCATTAAAACTGTTTCACAGTTGATTTAAAATGAGTAGTTCACTTCAACATTTAAAAATGATTTGAATTAAACACACTTTTGATTATCAAGACATTTGTAAAATAGTAATGATAATAGAAAAAGAGAGTGTTCTTTCAATTGATCCGTGCAGGACACACTTAGAAAGTCTCTGGATGGGCCAAACTGTATCTCTGGATTCAAATCAATGAAATGTCAGTTCTTGTCCCAGGAAGGCCCTCAGGGCCAGATTTGACCTGAGGCTTAGTTCACTACAGGAGCACAAGTTAGGAGTCATCAGGACTCTGTATCACAGAGCAGACAGCGTCCCCACTAACTCAGGAGCCAGACAGAAGGAGAAATCCTAGACCCAGACCGGTGGTCATTCCGTATGTTGAGGGAGTATCAGAGAAACTGAGACGTTTATTTTCTAAACATAACGTCCCAGTGGCTTTTAAACCCCAAAATACATTACAGCAAAGACTGGTTCATCCCAAAGATCCAGTCCCCCGGCACAAACAGAGTAATATAGTGTATGCTGTTCAGTGTCAGGAGGGCTGTGATCAGTCTTACATCGGGGAAACTAAACAGCCAATGGCCAAAAGGATGGCCCAGCACAGAAGATCAACATCATCAGGCCAGGATTCTGCGGTCTAACACTCATCTCCAGGCCAGCGGTCACTCTTTCAAAGATGAAGATGTTCACATCCTGGACAGGGAGGAACGATGGTTTGAGAGAGGAGTAAAGGAGGCCATCTTTGTGAAAAGAAATCATCCATCATTAAACAGGTGTAGAATGAACATATGCTGATATATATTCATAAATTAAACGGATTCTTTCATTTTTCTGGACTGTATAATATCGTGCATTGAATAATTAAAAATGTAACGTGAGACGTTAATTATCTTTGACTCACCAACGACAGTGGGTCATTTATTAACAGAATCAAGTTTAACACATCACACATTTACATTAATTGGCAAAAATTGAAAATAACAACAGCTTATTTAGCAGGTTTTACAAGGAAGACCATACGGCGATGGTTGAAAACCTTGCTTCCAGCTTCACACAGACATTTCTGAAAAATATCTGGAATGATTTGCTAGCAGGATAGAAGAATTTTAAAGATGGGAAATGAAGTTTAAGTTGAGAGAGATGGGGAGGGAATTTGTCTGTTATAACCAGAAACAGCACGCTCCTTCTAGACCAGCTTGACCCAACGGTATGCTTTGCGGTTGAAGATCGACTTTTTACCTTTCTGAAGATATGTCAGTTCCGGCGTAAAGTTCCACTTCGAGCCACTTTTCAGCGTCTCCGTAAGGACAGTAGGGAACCGTTCGGA